AAAGAATCTACTATTTGATATAGTATTTGAGAAATATTATTTTCAGAAATATGAAGTAACACTTTCTACATTATTTTATCTATAATTCTTATTTATGCAGAAACATTTCTTCCTTTTTCCTATTTGCAAAGTATTTTAGTATGTGTGTTATTTCCTTTTTTTAAAAAATATTAATCCACAATTCAACTACCGCTATCGTTGTTCATAAAATCATTGCTTTAAATATAAAAGTGTATTATAAATAATAATTAAAAGACAATAAATATAATTATATAATTTTAAATAAAAAGTAACAATACTAAACACTGATCRGCCCATATTGTTTTTATATGATTTCTAAAAAAATATAAACGTGATGGCAWTAAAATAAAAAAGTTTTCTGCTCTTAACGCACAAACCTTTATCTCCATTTCATTTTATTCAATTTCTAAGAATTTTTCAGGTGGATAATTGGATGGACACAATTGCCTAACGGTCATATCAACTAAAGGAATATTCTGGTCCTTACATTTCACATTTYTTAAATCTTTAGAAGAATCTGACTTTTCCAAAACTATTACATATAATAATCTAGCATCGCAATCACATATAAATGGATTCCCACTTAAAGTAAGTACTTTGAAGTCTTGACGAAACAAGAAGTCACTTACTGCGTAATTCAAGTTTATTAGATTATTATTATGTAATTCTAATACCTAAAAACGTAAAAGAAAATAAAAGACACAATTATGAAATAACTCAAAAGAAAGAAAAGAAAAAATAATAAAATAAGTTATTTACATACTTGGATAGTTTTTGGTAATCTGTCCAGCGATATTTCAGAAATCTCATTATTAGATAACAATAAATGTGTTATGTTAAGTGGTTTTATATAATCAAGTGATGGTATTTCCCTTAAAGAATTCCCTGTGAAATTCAATATTAATGGATAATTTCCCTTCAAATTTATTGTATTCTTGTTGATTTTTAATTGAAGCTTCAATTTGTTCGAACAATCTATAATTCGTGATTGATCAAACGGTCTTATCTTAGAAGTACATAAACTTAGATGCCTATCTACAATTTGAAAGTAGTCATCCTCGGGACACTGGTAGGTTTTAAAATCTAGCTGATTAATTTGTGGCCTTTCCTTTACATAATTTTTCACACACGTTAAGTTTCCCAATTTAAGTTCAAAGAAATTATAAACAGTAATGGGCATATCACCGTTAGAATAACGCAAAAGGTTATATAGGTGACAATCGCATAATAAGGGATTGTTTTCAACGTAGACAGTAACATTACGTTTTTCAGTATTATATAGTGCCAAGTCTTCGATATTAGTTAGTAAAATATTTTGTATGTCGTTATATCTTAAATCTACTAGAACGTTATCCGACAAAAAGAAAAAATCATTCGCCTGTAAAGGAAAAAACAATATAAATAAAATAAGTTCATTTTTAATCATTTCAATGATAATATTTAATGTATTTATGGATAGTAAAATTTGAGTATTTACCGATATTGTACTTATGTCGTTGTGACGCAGATCCAGTATTTCTAATTTTAGTTTATTTGTAGTCCAATCAGAATAAAAATGTTTAATTGTATTGTTCGATAAATGCAATTCCTTAAGAAGATAATTATTGAAAAAAGGTGAAATCATATTCAATGGAGTATCAAACTCTAGATGATTATCTGAGAACTTAGCGATGGATAGTTGTTCATTGGTTGAAAATGCTTCACTATTGATATATTGCAAAACATTTCCTTCCATGTTAAGTTCTTTTAATGATGTCAAACCGTTAAATAGTTTCCTAAAAAAATATTTATATTTGAAGAACAATATTTGGTGTACAACCTTGCTTCCGAGATTTTTATTCAGATGACTTGGATAAAAAATAGCGGAAGCTTAGTTGTACACCTATTAGACTAAAAGTATATATTTTATATATTTTATAATAGTCTACCTTTGTATGTAATCAAGACGATTATAAGACAAATCGAGTACTTCTAAATTTTGAAAATATTGAAAAACTAAATCAGGAAGCTCCATTATCCTATTATGACTAATGTTAAGATATTTAGTATTAAATACATCTACGAAGGCCGTTTCGTTTATATTTTCACAAATATTCTCACTCCAATCGATGAATTTTACAGATGTTGTACCCGTGAAAAATTTGTCTGGTATAAACTTTAATTTACTGTTTCTCATATGAACTTCTTCAAGATTTTTTAAATCCGTTATTAATACACCATGCAATAATGTTAAATTATCTTTATTATCTTGTAATAATATTTTTTTCAAATTTTTATTTAAAGTAAACAATTGTGATGGAAGATACCAGAAATTATTATTTGACAAATCAATTGTTTCTAATTTCCCTAAATTTTGAAAAATTTTTTCCCGTAGTCTTGACAACAAATTGGATGATAGGTTTAAATATTTTAATGAATATAATTTTTCAAATATTCTCACATCAAGTGTTTCTAATGAATTTTTTTCAAGATTTAGAATTCTTAAATTCTGTAGATCACGAAATATATTAAAGTGAAGTTCTGTTATTCCATTTCCACCTAAATCAAGTTTCTGAATATTCAAAGTTTTATCAAAATTATTTTTGCTTAGAACAAGAGAATTTTCAGACAAATCAAGACATCTTAAATTAGGAAAAATTGTAAAGAAATCAGATGATATATTAGTTAAACCGTTATAGGATAAAACTAATTCGGTCACATTTGAAAATCCTTGAAAATGTTCCTTTGTTAGACTTTCGCTAAGATTTCTATGAGACTGAAAGCTTAGTCTATTTATTTCTATTATTCCTAATTTTGTTGCTATATCTTTTAATGTAATTTCTTCTGGTAACAGGCAATTTTCGAAATTCACTGAATCGATTTTATCGCTGTCTTTTTCCTTTATAAAATTAAAATCTTTCCAATTAACATTTTCAAACTTAATCTGTTGAATTATAATTTTATGTATTTAAAGAGAATATAGATTTTATTTATTAAATTACATATAACATATCATGTCTAGAATGAGATTTGACTGAATATAAATAAATTGAAAAGCTATTGAGTATATATACCTCACTAGGTATCCATGTTTTCACGTTTATTCCAAACTTCACACCTTTGTGTGAAATGTAATAAGCATGTTTATTATCTTCATTTTTCGAGCATTCACAAAACGATTCTTTCTCGCATTCAGGATTATTAGCGAAAATATTTGTAAAGATAAGAAAAATTACCACGAAAATGATCCTAGCCATTGTTAGTTACCAGTCTACTTCAAAAAAGAAAATAATTAGAATACTTTAAGGCGGATTGTTACTGTGATAATTAAATGACAATTTTCCAATTCATTTCTTTAAAGTATGAGGATATTATAAAGAAAATTTCTGACGTAAGTTTACTTATAGTTCTAATATATTCTAAATGTTCTAGTTTTTTCGTTTATGAATTGTTATGAACTTACCTACGATCGTTGATACAAAAATGTATTGGTTAAATGATTTTGTTAAGTTGCTGTATGATGTAGCTTCTTCTTCTAACTTTTCGAATGATGAATAAACATCGACAGTTAAATTAAATCAATCTTTCAATAATCAAATTAAAATACAAATAAGGTCTCTTTGTTCTTTTCAATTCAAAATGTTAGATCAAAGTAACGA